CTCCATTGTTAACAAGGACTCGATTCACTAGAACTCCATCCATGTGAGCTGAAATGTAGAGTGGTTGTATATGACGGACCACACTTTCATCTGGTTTGTTAAAGATAATTTGTTCTGAGAAGATATCATGCTCATTTTCCTTTTCTTGGGCTGGAACCTCTATCACTTCTTCTTCAACAACCATGCTGCCCTTGGAAACAGAGGTAGGAACATGGGTATTCTCGCTGCCCTTAGCTCGAAAAACCAAAGGCAACATGAGAATCAAACAAGAGAGATTAATAGAGATGCCGCTAATCTGCAGAACACCCATGTCTTCAAGAAGATTATCATCGCTAGTCAACTCCGCTTGCTGATCTGCTTCAAAGGTTGCCTTCAACTCATTTTCATTGATGATCAATGAGGTGAGCTTAGGAGGTGGCACTTCTGGCTGAGATTCATTCTAGACAGCAACCTCTTGACTCTCCTTTCTCTTCCACACCATCCTTCCCTTTACGGGAGAACGTTGTGGGACCTTAACTTCCTCAGTAGCTAATTGATGACGGCGACGTGCCTCTGCTCGTTTCCGCTGCAACCTTCTTCTTAAAGTTTTAGGATTTTCACAGGTTCTTTTGGAAACTTAGGATGCACAACCTTCTCCCAACTTTTACTTGGAGGTTGCTGTGGAGGCTTAACCATATGAGAGCGATCTGTATGCCGAGCCTCCTTCATCCTAGATCCAGATGCATAGATTTTGGCAGCATGGCGTTGCCCCCCAAGCCTTTGATTTAGTTGGGCATGACGTTCCCTTTCCTTCTCAATCACCTAGCGAAGGTCATCTACAACCAAAGTTCGCCCTCTATACGCCCTTCGAGAGATGCTTCTTATGTCAGCAACATTAACCCCAACATCTACATTTGGGAAAGGATTCTCATTAACCCCCATGGCTTCTTTGGGTTTTTCAAGGAAACGAAGCAGCCCATTGTCAATCTTATCCTGCAACACATTTCGAAAAATAACACAGTTATTAGTAGAGTGTTTCTAGGAGTTATGAAACATACGGTAATCTTTGGATGCAATTTCAACAACCGTTGGGAGCCTATGCCCCTATGGCAGCTTAATATGTCTCGACTTTTTCAAATAATCGAAGATTTCATTTGCTTTAGTCACATCAAATGTGTATTGTCTCCCAGATTCATACGAGAAACGCTTTGCAATTGCCTCAACCTGTTGAGTGACTTTCACTAGATTAGGACAAGTTACTGGCTTGTTAGCAAAGACCTTGGCAACATCAAGGTCAAAAGCATCCTAATAATAATTTCCTTGGGATGCCACTTTTCTTTGGGATTCCTCTCTTAAAAGGTTCTCATAACGTGCCACCTTATAAGAGAGCTCAAAAAAGTCTTTGAATTCCATCCCCTCAAACTTCTTTCGAAGTTCAATGTCTAAACCATTCTGAGCAAGCTTCACGAACTCTTGCTCTGGTAAGGCAACATGACATTTCATCTTGGCTTTTCTAAATCGCATAAGATAATTTTTAGAAGATTCCCCTGGCCGTTGAATCAATCTAGAAAGATCAGCCATGGATATCTTAGGCTCTTAGCGGTAGAATTGAATATGAAACAAATCTTCCATTTGTCTCTAGGTAAATACAGAATTTTGCGGTAGACTTAGGTACCATGTCAGTGCAGTACCCATTAAAGAACTTGGGAAGAGTCTTAACTTCAAAAATCATCACTCGATGCTTCCCCACATTGAATAGTGAACCTACCAATCTGTTCAATGGTTGATTGACTCGCGTCCCTAGAAAACAAAGTAAATTCAGGCACTTTGAATCCACGAGGAAATGGATTATCCCGATCTATGTAATTTGGATATGACTTGTGATAGGAAAGACGAACCAATGGTCTTAAAGCTGGACCATATGTCTCTTAGACTAGATCAATTAGCTGATTTCTATCCAAGGGAGAAGTGCTACTTGCAGCCTTAATGGTTGAAAGGCATTATTCTGCAAGTTGGGCTGTGGGGTTGCATTTGGATGCCGTGCAGGAGGTACATATCTTTGTTGATTGTTGATTGGCGTTGAGTTGCTTAGCTGCACGGAATGTTATTTCCACAAGATCTTGTGGTCCAAGGATGCCACCAGTAAGATTGCTTTGTTGCTGCCTATTGAACTACACCTGGACTGCATCAAGAGCATTATTTTGAGCATTGGGCATCTATTACACCACTTGTGGCTGATTAATATGCCCCCTGTGCCTCCCGTGCCCCCCGGGCAAAGGATCTAGAAGATTTTGTTGTGGCAATTCCATTGCTAGAGGTACAGGTTACCTTGGAACATTTTGCTGGTGTCAAACATGTTCTATGGTTCTCTCAGAAACTGTAGTGAAGGTTCTGCGACTTTCTGCTACTTCTTCTCGAATAACTCGAGAGAACTTTCATTAATAGCCCTTTCAATTACATTTAGATATTGAGTGAAATGATATGACTGTTGTTGTTGGGCTTGTAGAAAGCTTGTTAGACTACACTTTATGTTATGATTGGCTTCTTATTGCAACTTCCTTATCTGTTGAAGTTCTTGAGATATTTTATTGCTTGACTCAGCAGATTCATCCTTTTCATCATCCTTACCATACATGGGATTGCCATATGAGTGATCAGCCAAGGGAGAAATAGGTGGAAGATGCTTCGAACTATTTTCACCTTCAGAATGTCTTTGACTCAAAGGAGCAACTTCCACTCCTTGTGCAACTTCTTTTCAAACTCTCCTAGGCATGGTTATGGTTGCTTTATGCCCTGGAAAAGCAAAAAGAAGATCAAAAAACTTTTCTTGATAGACGATCGCCAGCAGGAGGTCCCACTAGGCATGCAAAAAAGAGATTGTTATCCCAAAAATCTTCTTGACATGCGGCAGATGAAATGGTGTGCCACTTGCTTTACTCAAAACAAGAAAGATTTCTCTGATGACCCTCTCTTATTTCCAAGCGTGGAACTCAGTTTGTGAGTTGATGGAAGAATGTGTTGACTCAATGTACTCCAAGAGGGGGGGTGAATTGGAGTTCCAAAAATTCTCCCCTTTTGCAACCACAAAACCAAAATTAAAGAGAGTAGAGAAGAAGAGCTTGCTCAATGATTTTATAAAGGTTCGGTCCAACCACTTGGAACCTAATCCTCTACCTTGGCTTCACTCACCCAGGATTTCCTTCACACTCTCCACTAAGAAAACAAGGGTGGCTTAAAGGAGCCACTTAATCCTTTTATAAGAAGATGAGTATTTCTCCAAACCTCACCCCTTTACAATATAAACCCCAAGAATCCTCTTTATAGATCACTCTTAAAGGATTAATCACACCCCCAAGATCACTCACAAATAGAACAAGAAGAAGATTACGAGTAAAGATCTCTCAAAGATCAAAAACTCAAGTTAAAGCACATGTAGATAGGTAAAGATATTCAATGCAATGCTCTTTAAACTTCTTCGGATCTGTTACCAACCATATTTATAGGCCTTTGCTCGAAAATAGCCGTTTCTAGCCGTTGGGGATCATTAAATGCTCTGCAGGATGCAAAGCTCGAGTTGTAGGATTGTCAAGACAGCCAGCTTAACTTCCTAGAGCTGGCTCTGCATAGTCAGCTTACCATTTCTGCAACCAGCTCTGCGAGTTTCCTACATTCTGCTTTCTCCGTAGAGCTAGCTTAAAAATCTGCAACCGGCTTTGCGAGTTTCCTGCATATTCTGTTTTCTTACACAACCGGCTGCAAATCATAAAGTCGGCTTTGGGATTCCAACTTTAAACACATTAAATAATTTCCAAATAACTCAACCGTTGTGCATTAAATGCACCCTCACAGTTGGCTGCAAAGTTGGAGCCGGTTTTGCATCTTTTCTCCGTGCGCGCCAAACAACGGTCTTCAAATTTTTGCCCGTACAGTTGACTGCAACTTTCAGAGCCGACTCTCTGCACTTCCATTTCACCAGAGCCGGCTGCAACTTTTAAAAGCCGGCTCTTTACACATATTCAAGCCTTTTTGGTCCATTTTTAAGTGCAGTCCAAGTTTACTTATATTGCAATCTTTTGGCATTTTAACTACACACTTAAATGAACCAATTAGTCACTTAAATGTGTTTTGTAATCATCAAAATCATAGGTACAATAGAACGTGGAAAACTATGCCTTAAAGATCAGATGATTGGCCGAAACGAGGGATGAACTTCTTGCACTGAATGGGTTATACGACAAAATGCCCTGGATATGATTCCAAGGACTTCTCAAAGCTAATGTAATCAAGAAAAGCTAAGACTGCAAGGAAAATAAATAATCGCTAAACTACTAAAAATCTAAATGAACTTTAAATATGCAAACTGGGTTGAAACAGAGCTTTAAAAGGAAATTAAGTTAAAGTAAATAAAACTGAAAATAAGGAAAATCTACTAGCAACATGTAATATAAATTAACAGAAATATAATTGAACATGAAATTAAATGTCGACATCATTTGATTTAATTAAAGGAAACTTGGAAAATAGAAAAGGCAAAGAAGCAATCTAATCACAAAGAAATACTATTGAAGGCAATGAAAACTCACCATTACAAATTCAACAAAAGAAGAGTTGAATTACTAAACTAATCTAAGCTGAAGCGTAGAGTTGGAATTAAATTAAAGGGCTTAAACTAAGATGAATTTGAGCATAAAGAGAAGTTGTGCTAAGTTTGTTGTGTAAGATGGTGATCCTTTGCTTGATCTTTTCATTAGGTATTTATAACACCTTGGCAACATGGTGGAGATCTGTGGCAGCATCTTGAAAAACCAACAGCAGCGTGATATCTGCAATGAATCGATTAATTTGTTGGTGTTGCGATTATCCTCCTAGAAGCTTGCAACAAGAGAACGATTTTGCTGTTGTTGTGAAAATAACCACTCAATGTTATCTAAAAAGATTTACACTAACTGTTAACTAATAAAATATCTGCCAACATGAGTGACACGTGGCAGCACTTTATTTGTTGTAAAATTAGATGTAAACAATTAATTTATTAAATTTATCTAAAAATACATATTTTTAATCTCACAACTTATAATATATATTCTTAATCTCTTAATTTATAATATATGCATGTTTTTTATTCCTAAAGTTAAGGAATTATAAATATGTATATTTAGATAAATTTAACAAAATAATTGATGAAATAATTAAAAAAATATATTTTTTGTAATTAAAG